GGATAGCAAACCAAAGAATCATTTGTACCAATTGTGTTGATTCAGTGGTCTTATGGCACACTATAAAGTGCAATATATTGGACAATTGGACAAGTGCACAATTAGACTTAGGTATCCCTCCGTTTACCAATCACTATTTAATATGAAACTGACTTGTGAGTAAATTCATAAGTACAAATTACAGTGTACGGTAAATGTACGTAAGTACAAACAAATATGAATAATGGTACATTTGCATAAATAACATTACCGTAATTAGAGTTGTTGTAAAAAAATCAAGGCTTCAGCTGATAATTAACTGTAAGACAAATCAATGTCTTTTCATCCGTAAAATATAAACTATTATATATATAACTATATAAACTATAAAGAATTGTCTAAAGAATAGTTTTACATATCATAAGTGTTTGTATCGAGTCCTATAGAATCCTATAATTCTTATTCATATTCATGGATTGCGAGGAATTAATAGAAAAAGTTGGATCTTTTGGTCGATATCAGAAAATTCTGGGACTTTTTCTGTGTCTATTAATTGCACCGTTTTTTGCTTTCAATGATGTGACACAATTCTTGCTATTTCTGGAGCCAGACCATAGCTGTTCCCGACAGACAGAGACGGTTGACGTCTATTTTAATCTCCTCTGGTTATTAGAACCGGAACATAATATCTCAAAACAATGTGAATTACTAGACGATTTTGGCAATAAAACTAATTGTATTTATGGTCACAAGTATAATTATTCTCGATAGATAGGGTGTTAACACAGGCTCCATTTTTAACTTATTAAAAATGTCATTTATCAAATACTTTTGAATCTTTATCATTATAAATTTTAAATTAGAACGAACGAAGTTTGTCTTATTAATACAAACCGAAGACAGTTGGAAATTATATTTTGTACACACAATATACTGGGCCGGATCAGCAGTTGGGGTTCATGTTATCGGTAGTATTTCTGATAGGTAATCATTAATCTCTTAATTAAAGTTTTATTGAACTCTTAATTAAAAATCCAAATATTCTTAGATATGGAAGAGTGCCGGCGATTGGCATTTGCCATCTAATCAGTGCCATCGCAGGGACGGCCANAAAACTTGTGAAAACTTTGAAGGAATGGCTTTTAAAGTTGAAAGGGATAGACGTGTTGTTGTGTGGAGTCATAGCAACAGTTTTGAGCACATGTTTGGTTTGTTTTGCATAACACTTGACGTGAGATCTGATAGCAATTGAGTGATAGATCAGTGAATTGTGTGAACAATGAGTGAACCGACAGTTAATTCAGATTTACTTCTTTGCGAGAATCAGTTCTACACCAAAACCAATGAAGTCAAGTCACTATTGATCACCAAAAAGGCACAGAAAGAGGCCATCACTGCGTCCAAAGATGGCCTCAAAACCCAGAGGATAGCATCGAGTGGTAAACCATTGAATCCATGGGTTGTTTCAATCATTGAATGTATGTCTGTATTGACACGAATGTAGTGCTGAGTCGAGCCAAAGAGTTTTTGGACAAAACCAAAGACACGCCAATTGAGACACAAACGTGTGATTTAGAATTAACCATGCCTCTCTGTCCTATCTATAAGTCTAATATGTTATTGATTGATTCAAATGAAAATAGCTTTAATTGCAATCATAATAAATGTACCTGTATCACATTAGTTATGAAATTTAAATGAAAAACTTGTGAAAACTTTGAAGGAATGGCTTTTAAAGTTGAAAGGGATAGACGTGTTGTTGTGTGGAGTCATAGCAACAGTTTTGAGCACATGTTTGGTTTGTTTTGCATAACACTTGACGTGAGATCTGATAGCAATTGAGTGATAGATCAGTGAATTGTGTGAACAATGAGTGAACCGACAGTTAATTCAGATTTACTTCTTTGCGAGAATCAGTTCTACACCAAAACCAATGAAGTCAAGTCACTATTGATCACCAAAAAGGCACAGAAAGAGGCCATCACTGCGTCCAAAGATGGCCTCAAAACCCAGAGGATAGCATCGAGTGGTAAACCATTGAATCCATGGGTTGTTTCAATCATTGAATGTATGTCTGTATTGACACGAATGTAGTGCTGAGTCGAGCCAAAGAGTTTTTGGACAAAACCAAAGACACGCCAATTGAGACACAAACGTGTGATTTAGAATTAACCATGCCTCTCTGTCCTATCTATAAGTCTAATATGTTATTGATTGATTCAAATGAAAATAGCTTTAATTGCAATCATAATAAATGTACCTGTATCACATTAGTTATGAAATTTAAATGAAAAACTTGTGAAAACTTTGAAGGAATGGCTTTTAAAGTTGAAAGGGATAGACGTGTTGTTGTGTGGAGTCATAGCAACAGTTTTGAGCACATGTTTGGTTTGTTTTGCATAACACTTGACGTGAGATCTGATAGCAATTGAGTGATAGATCAGTGAATTGTGTGAACAATGAGTGAACCGACAGTTAATTCAGATTTACTTCTTTGCGAGAATCAGTTCTACACCAAAACCAATGAAGTCAAGTCACTATTGATCACCAAAAAGGCACAGAAAGAGGCCATCACTGCGTCCAAAGATGGCCTCAAAACCCAGAGGATAGCATCGAGTGGTAAACCATTGAATCCATGGGTTGTTTCAATCATTGAATGTATGTCTGTATTGACACGAATGTAGTGCTGAGTCGAGCCAAAGAGTTTTTGGACAAAACCAAAGACACGCCAATTGAGACACAAACGTGTGATTTAGTTGATGACAAAGACACCGATGAATGTCCAACGGATGGCAAATCTGTCGTTGAATTGGATTTTGTTTTGTTTGCAAATAAGGATCACTCGGACAGTGAAGAGGAGGAGACCAGCGATTCCAGTGAATCCAGTGATGAAGACTCGGAGGAAGACAGCAATGATTCAGTGAAACAATCAGATAATGAGTCCAAATGTGTGGACAAATGATTGTGTTTTGTTTTATTAGAGATTATTAACTATTTTTAATTCATTAGTTGTCATAAGAGATCATTATTTAAATTTTATATCACTTGATATTATTATTCAAATAAATTGTGGTTTAATTTTGAGGATAAAAGTCTGTTTTATTAAGTTTTATAGTCTTTGCAATAAAATCATTGAATGATTATAATAGTAAACGAGTGGACAGTTGTCTTAATAAATAGTGTTAATAGAGTCGATAATAAAACGTTGAATTCATTTCAGGGATTAATCTGTGGATTATGGCTACGGTTTAATCACTTTAATGAGTTTCGGTAAGACTTCTACTGATTTCAATTTGGATCTAATCGAGGAAATGATATATTTAAATATTTGTTATAAAAATGAATGAATTGTTTTATATATGACAAACTCATTTGACGAGACATTGATCACTCTCTGCAACCAAACCATAATTAGGACCAAAATGAGCCAAAATGTGATGCAAATGATGTGGAAATGAGTGCTTTTCTCGAGAATCTTCACATCCGCCTCTTCATCGGTCTCATAATCACTCAAATGATTTAAATAACTATTAATGCATTTATAATACATTTAGATATGAATCCAATGCACATTCAAACGCACACTTCTCTTGAATAATCTGGTTTGCAGTGATAATGAACGCAATTCAAGTGAATTACAATAATATTTGTTTTGTTTTCAAACTTTCCAAAGTTCATTGAAAACCACTTAATTGCAAGTTATTTACAGTAAAGTAGTCTAATGTAGTGTTTTTCTAAATGCGACCTTAAAACTAACATTTCTTTCATTATATGGACTATTGATCACGTATTGAGTCTTATTGGCACAAATCCTATTGAAATCAATGTCAAGATTTGAATGGAAAGTAACG